TTTGGAATGTAAAGCCCATATATTGTAAAAAAAAAAAGCAATAATTGATAAGTTCTTGATTTTAAAAACAAATTAATAAATAATTCACAGTTTGCTTCCAGAACCATACAATAAAATAAAGTAGTTTTCATTACTAAAGAATTTGAAAATAGACGCGTTATTTAAACAAACACTGTTGATTATAACAACTTTAATTCCTAACCAATGGATATAATCAATTAATAATCGTACACTTTCTCAATGAAATATCAACTTTAATTAGTCTGAATCTAAGCACTAATTCCTTTACATCTATTAAATAAAGATCCATTGAAAACATGAACTATTTTCCTTTGATAGAGGCTAGAAAAATATTTGGTCACTTTAGCCGGCTTGACAATATTTTGCCATTAAACGATATCAAACTTTATCGTTTCCGTTCAAAGTTTATTTTACGACGGCAATAACTGTTTTCTATTACAGGTTTTTAATAGTAATGAATACGTATATTGGTTTGATTTATGACCGTGTAAGTAAAAATGCCTTAAAAAGGCTAAGTGTCTTGACGCAGCAAAGGATCCTTTTGAATTTCTGATAGCTGAACTCTTTCAGTTTTTCGCATAGTAAAGTCTGTAGAATAATGATTGATACATTTAGTCTTATATATAGTTCCCTTTAGTACGTCATCATCATATATCATCATACAGCCTTTAACTGTCCACTGTTGAACATAAGCCTCCTCCTTGGGGGGTTTTGCCAGTAGTTGTTATGCTTAGCAAGGAGATTGGCAACCGCAGTCAGGCTTTGGACATGTTTTAAGAAGGACCTTGCTGCTCTTACGTCACCAACTGGATAGTGAAGGGCAGCCTATTATGTGCCGGGACCACATAGTTTTAGTGCATATTACGAGTACAACGTTAATCATTGAACAAATTGCACGTAAATTTACTAGAAAAAATTGTGCACCTACCTCATATGTTACTTCTGATGTTTTCAAATAATTTTTGTATTTTTTTTTATACAACTTAGAACAGCAAACAAGCTGACGGCCCACCTGATGGAAAGTAGTAACCGTCGCCTATAGAGATGAGCAGTGCCATGGACATAACAGAGTATACTGTTTCGCCCATGATACCCCCCATGCGTTGCCATTCCTGAGGACTCAGGTGTCATTTCTGTACCCAGTAAAATATGGTCAATAAAGATAATTAAAAATAAAAGTTTACTGTCCAGTGCTGAACATAGGCTTCCATAGGCTTTATTGGGATGTTTTACCAATTTGTTGGTTGGCAACCGCAGTTAGGATTTGGTGACATTTTAAGAAGGACGTTGCTGCCCATTCTTCGACCGTTATGTTCCCTTGGTCACTTTTTACAACACCCACGGGATAGAAAAGTGGCTCATTCTATTCCAGGATACGGCGGTTGGATTGAAAATGATGATGATGAGTGGGATTAATTCACCGTATTTGAAAATTAATACATAATTCTGACGTAACTGTATTTCGGTAGAACTGCCACGTTCAACAGGATTTCATTAAACAAATTGCTTAGCCTTAACTTATTTTGACATAAATTTGCATGAGAAGCAGTGAGCTGCCTCTAGATTTTGATTAAATATAATATTATGCATATTACAAGTTTAGATGTACCAACTACAAGATAAATCTAGGCCTGGATACATACATAGTACTCGTATTTTGTCGTTACCAAATATTAGGTTGATACAGCGTTGCTAGATTGGGTAATTTTCGCAATATTGGACTAAAAAAATTTCTGTTCGCGATATGTTTAAGAAATTAATTTCTTGTAGAAATGTTTGGTGAAAAGTGAAATGGGCTTGAAAATATAGTAAAATATATCAATGATGTCAGCAAAACAGAGGTTGAGGGAAGTTTCGGGAAAGTTTGTTTCTGTCGTCGTTCGTGTATATTGGAGAACATAGAAAAAATCTGAAGCGTGAAGCTGAAGACCGTGCACAATGGAATAACATCATGAGAGAGGCAACGGACACTTTTCAAGGACACGACCTTCAGTAATGAAGAGGACGAAGAGAGAGAGAGAGAGAGAGAGAAAATCTATATAAATTTCTGATTAGGTAAAAGTAAAAACAATCGTAATCTGATTCTGTTAAACAAATGTTTGATATTAAAGTAAAAAAATAAAAATTGCATTTGGTAACCCTTGTTAGATATTTATTGCTTTTTCCTGTCTTATATGTTTATATTCCGACTTTCATAATTTTATGTTATGTTGGTACTTTATTTTAACACAAAATCGTAATTTCAATTAGAGTTTATTATCTAAACTACTAAATTGTCTTATTCGTATTTCACTTGAATTGTTCTATTGTAATTTTATATTTTTATGTTTCTGGTGCAATAAAGAGTTAAATAGATTTAAAATGGAGGTACATTTTTAGAACTAAATAAAAGAATCATCTAAAACATACACAACTGGTGAAGATATCGATTCAAGCAATGATGGAGGACCTTCTTTTAAAATCGACTTAAATGAGAAATGACATGTGTACTTGTTAATTATGTAGATCGATTGAAGTTTTTTTTTGTCTTTTTTAATGGCATTCTCCTCGATATTAAGGTATTTTGTCAAAAACAAAACGGGAAATGACAGTAATAATAAAAATATCTATCTTAAACAACTTTGGAGAGAATAAGGATTAGATCTAGGATTTCATAGCATATGTAGGATAGAATAGATACTTATGGGAAGCAATTATTGCAAACAAAGTTATTAAAAATCACACGAGTCCTTTCATTGATAACTAGTAGGAATCGTGTTAGTGTAGCGCCATCTAGTGTCGGTTGTTTTTAGATCGATTATTGATTTTTTTTATTTGTGATTTTGTATGTGCGATTCAACTGGATCATTCGAATTATATCTCTCACTTTTTTCAGCCGTAACTTTGTGGAGAAAAACTTACATTACGACTAAATGATTTAATATTTATTTATCATCATTATCATATCAGACATTAAATGTCCACTGATGAATAAAGGCCTTCCCTATAAGAGGGGTTTTAGTAGTTGCCACGCTTGGCAGGCGGGTTAACAACCGCAGTTAGGCATTGATGATATTTCAAGAGGGACGCTGCTGCCCATTTCCCAATTATTAAGTTCTCTTAGTCGCCTCTTACGACATCTACAGGAAAAGAAAGGATGGTCCATTCTAGCTGCGACCATACAGTGATAATACTTATTACATTTTAACAATATTAAAGTTGTAAAATGGCTTCAGTTAGATTTATAACACAAGCAATCTATCTACCTCAGTGGTCATATTAAATGTTCAGACAGTGCGCTAACCAAAACGTGACTTGCCGCGTAATAAGGGGTTGAATCAATACATTTTATTATTTTACTAACCATTGTCCATTTTTATAGTAATAAGAATGGCCGGCCATTATAAGATATTGTCTCGTGATGAAAATGTTTTACGGGATTCGTATAAAACTCAATACAGGTGAAAATAAAAAAAAAAAAATTAAAGCCATTATTAAGGTTTTTTATACATAATAGTTTACCATATGGTCCAGACATAGAATGGGCCACCCATTCCTTTTCCGTGGGTGTCGTAAGATGGGACTAAGGGAATTTAATGGTCGATGGATGGACAGTAGCGTCTCTTTTAAAACATCACCAAAGTGTAATTGTGGTTGTCAACCCGCCTACCAAGCGTGGCAACTACTGGCAAAACCAAAAAGGTTCATATGATAATAGGAAAACCTTAGTAATAATAGGTATCTTATATAGCAATATTCACTCAGTATTCATAGCATATTTTTCACTGACGTAATTTCTGTTACTCGAGATTCAGTGTTTGGAAACCCTAAGTCGAACAAACTATCAGCGACCGCAAAAGCAATTACAGGCGATAACGCATAGGAATAGGGTCTAAAACGGCTTGAGCTAATGTTACACAGAGAAAAGCCCTGTTAACCTCAATCGGTACCCATTTCTGGGAGCTTAGGTCTACACAAACTTATTGTTATGCTAATAATAGCATAATAAATTCATTTTTATCGCCGCTCTCTAGTATCGCTTTGATATTTAGCTATTTAAGTATGTGATACCAGAGACTTGTGGAATGACAAATGATTTGTCAATTATAATATTGATTGTGATAGAATTGAGTTTTGTTTTTTTTTTATTTTTATTTTTATACCACTGAGGTGGCAAACAAGCATACGATCCACCTGATAGTAAGTGGTTACTGTAACCTATGAACGCCTGCAATACCAGGGGTACTGAACAAACCTCTTTACCATCCTTTTGAAGAATTCCATGCTGTGGTCTTTTGAGGAAACTTTGGCACGGAGTTCATTCCATAACCTGAGTGTTCATGGGAAACTATCGAGATGCGATATTCGGTTATGTGCGTTTTTAAATTAAACCATTTTTGGTATTTATGTTTAATATTATAAATTATATAATTCGAAATGTTGTAAATATTTTTTTAATTATTTATTTTTTATAAGTCTAATATTTATTAAATTATTATTATTTTATTTAGACACTAGTTTTTTTATAAAGCAATTTTGTTATTTATTTAATTGTAGCTTGTTTCACATAATATTTATTTTTAACCTTTGTGCCGAGACAAGTATAACATTTTACTTTTTATTATAAAATCTAATGAAATTCCAAATTATAAGTGTAATTCATATAATATTATTAATAATTAAACTAGTTGTTTATGACGGCTTTGTCCGCGTGCATTAATTTCTATAAAGTAGACGTTCTTTGAATTAAATTAGAGTATAAGCTAGCTGTGGACCGAATTTTATTTAGATTCTTTCAGTTATTTAAATATAATTGAATAACAAACATACAAATATTTAAATATTTTAACAAATGTACATTTGTGATATTTTCGTAGAAAGAAGGATAAAACATAATTGACTGATTCTATATTAGAATAATTTATATTCAGCGCCATCTGTTATTACGGAGAGCGTACTGTGCTTTATCAAAGGTGACGTTTCACGCATGCGTACAGATATCGAGGCCACGGTCACGACAACAAACTCGCGACGCGACGCACACTAGCGCCAGCACGGCCGTCTGTGAATGTTGTGACTTCTGTCAATAATGCAAATTACTTAGTGTTAATTGTGTTTCAAATAAGATTTGTGTAGATTAAGTGCATTAATCATGTAAGTATTTGTTACATTTATTATTTTTTACATTTAATATCACTATGTTAACATTAGATTTGATAAATAATTCCAAATAGTTAACCTTACTTTTATAATTCAATGTGCAGATGTGTGTGTACAATTTCAGCTGTCTCTGTATTTGTTATTAGGTAATAAAAATGAGCTAACAAGGACTTGATACATACATTTTTTTATTTAATTGTTTATCAGTATAAAAAAATTTATTAATTCTAATATTAGTTGTAATTTATAATAATGAAATTATTGTAGATTTTAAAATAATTTTATTATCTATCTATGGGTCTTATTTTTAAAATAGTTTCTTCTATTTCAGATCCAAAATGAATATAAAAGCGGCGCTGGCCATGACCATGGTCTTTGTTGGGTGTTGTTCCAACGTAGTGTTTTTAGAGATGGTCGTGAAAGAAGACCCTGGTGCTGGTAATCTGGCAACCTTCCTGCAGTTCCTGTTTATAGCAACTGTTGGGTTCTGCACCGTGGGGAAGTTCGGTACCGCCAAAAGGAACATACCGTTCAAACAGTACCTCATATTAGTTGGATTTTTCTGGACTAGTAGCGTGGCGAACAACTATGCGTTCGATTTCAATATCTCCATGCCGCTTCACATGATCTTCCGGGCTGGTTCTCTGATGGCGAACATGGCTATGGGCGTATGGATCCTCAAGAAGCAGTACCCGTTTTTGAAGTATCTAGCCATATTCATGATATCCGGTGGCATCGCAGTTTGCACAATACAATCGAGCGGAGACGTGAAAGCACCGAGAGAGACACACGAAGATGCTGCTGAGGAAGAGAGACTGAAATTCATCGACTGGTTGTGGTGGTGTCTGGGTATAGCCATATTAACATTCGCCCTATTCGTGTCGGCCAGAATGGGGATATTCCAGGAGTCACTGTATTCCAAATACGGGAAGCATCCGTGGGAGGCGTTGTATTACACGCACTTGATGCCGCTCGTGTTTTGGCTGCCGACCGCGTCTAATCTAATTTCGCATATTAGATTAGCGACAGAGACGCCATCTATAGAGTTCCTAGGTCTAGTACTGCCGAGGCAGGTTCTCTGGCTGATCTTGTATGTATCAACGCAGGGTTTGTGCATTAGTGCAGTATACGTATTAACAACTGAGTCCGCTTCCCTGACCGTTACTCTAACGGTTACTCTGAGGAAGTTTGTATCATTACTTTTCTCGATTGTGTACTTTAGAAATCCCTTCACATTGGGACACTGGATCGGGACTTTACTAGTGTTTATAGGTACATTGATATTCACTGAGTTACTGCAGAAATTCGTTGCGCTCTTCGTGCCTAAGAGAGACGAGAAGAAGATTAAATAAATGTGATTCATCATCACCATGTCAGCCGTTCTCTGTCCACTGCTGAACATAACCCCCATAGACTGCCAAAGGAACGGGGTCGTTCCTTATGGTAGTTTACTGTCGAAGGAATTTTGACAGTAAATGTCACGATTGACAGGCAAATTGGCAACTGCAATTAGGCTTTGGTGATGTTTGAAATGTAATGTGATTATTATTAGTAAATTATAGTACAATAATTGCTTATTTAATTAGGATTTTATAATTGAACAAATTAAAAAAAGAAAAAAACTATTTTTCAAATGCGTTACAATTCTTTCGGGAATCTTGAATGGTTAAAAAATGAGTGTCACGTATTTAATTGCTGGGAGATATGGGTTCTAATTTTGTAGTTTTCAATCATTATTTAATAATAGTAATAAAAAAAAAATAAGTGGAAAGTCGCTCAATTTACTATATTAAATGATACTTAGAATTTGTGGTCCAATTTTTTATGTCATCTGCCATCTCGTGTACCTATTTGAGTTTAGAGGTTAGGTATAGATTGTCTACGTTAACATGGCACGCTTCTCCAACTTTTTACTTCAATTTGTGTTACCATATACAGACGTGGTGCTCTGTTTTGTTTAAAAGGAAACGTCTTCAGTAGCGAGTAGAAGTATATTCCTTGGTCGAAACTTTATTAATATTTTTACTCGTACATTTTTAATCCTTTGGATTTTAGAGAGGTATGCCTTGTTAACGTAGAAAATCTATGCATTGTATTTTGTTTTGTTATCGAGTATACATGTTAAGTGATACTGAAGTAGATATTTCTAAGTTTCATCTGTTTGACATATATATATATATACTTGAATCATATTTATCAATTCCCTTATTGTTGATTTTAATGGCAGCCTAAGTCAATGACATTTTAATATAACTAGTTAACACTAACTTACAAATTCTCGTTTTTTTTTTACCTTAAAAACTATGTATTATAAATATATATATAAAAAAAAATACATATATGAAATTACAATCGCAGAGTACTCACAAATTTATTTGAGAGTCGGCACCACTATATAGACGAAACTGTAAAATGAATCTATGCAACCACGTAGAAGTATCAACACAATCAAATAAATGTATATTAATAGTTTTTTTTTTGTAACTATGTGTAATATATTAATGTAAGAATACCCAGATTAACTTGCGTGTATTTTAGTTGAAAATGTAATAAATAATTTTAGTTTTGTAATATCCTATAAAGGTTCACAAGCGACATTGTGATACGCCTACTAATGAAGTCCAATTAATATCTAAAAATACTTTTTTGTTTTTATTTTAATATTTAAACAGATTTTATTTCCAGTATATCATGTGAACTATTAGTTATCAATCAATTAATTCGATAAAAAATGATTTATCACAATTCGCGTTATCTCAGTTTTATTAAAATGTCATTGTAATAGTGATTTTCATATTTCAGTATTAGGATTATAATGTTATATTATTCAGATCATATTATATATTTACTTTTGAATATAAGAATGGAAACAATACAAAATTTGAAGTTGGAATTGAATGGAAATAAAAATAAATTATTAATTACAATTCTCTATGTCTGTGTATTTCTTTATAGATGTAGATTATGCTCTGCCTTATTTACAACTACATCTTTACTAATATTATAAATATGAAAATGTGTATTAGGGAGACTTTGTACAAAAGTCGATTGCTTGGGTACCTTTGTACCATTCGTGTTTCAACCGTGAAGCAGTTGTGTTTGCATGGCTGTGTTTCGGTTTGAAGGGTGGGATATGGCGTGAATTTGCAGGGTACAGAGGAATAACACCTGAGTCCTCAGGAATGGCAACGCATGGAAGTATCATGGGCGAAACAGTATACTCTGTTATGTCCATGGTACTGCTCATGTCTATAGGCGACGGTTACCACTTTCCATCAGGTGGGCCGTCAGCTTGTTTGCCATTCTAAGTTATATAAAAAAAATCTTTTAGGGTCTTAACGGCTTATTTAATCTCTATCAAATTTGGTGTACACGTAAAAGATTAATTCCTTTATTCATAAAAACTAAAATCTAGAAATCTATTTTAACTATTACACTTGCCACTTCCTATTCAATTGGGTATTTAGTGTAAAAGAAAGAGACAAAACTGTTCAACAGCTAGAATTATAGTTTTCTACACTAATATTATTGATTTGTATTTTTGTAATGAATAAACTCAAAAACTACTTTGCCGATTTCAAAAATTCTTTCACCATTAGAAAGCTACATTCACCCCGAGTAATATAGGCAATATTTATTGCTAAAAAAGATTAGGGATCCTTACACTTTAGTAACGTAACTCAAAGAGTAAAAAAAATGCTATAAAATATCTTTCGTCGCGTTCGTTGTGGAAACTATTGGTGATAGAACAAAAGTATGTTCTACAATATTGAAGAAAATATCAATAACTACAAAAAACTTTGCGATTCTATATGTCCAACTATTATCGTTATGTCACAATAACCATTTTTTAAAATGTTGTAACAATCTTCACCTGTGCGAAGCCGGGACGGGCCGCTAGTTATGAATAAGGAGATAGGCTATTTTTTTACTCTATTTATTTTATCGCCGGCTAACTTATCCCAGCCACGCAGACGACATCATGGGTAGAAGCCAGTATCTAAGCTGATAATATTGTTGAGCATATCATATTAAGTTCAGAACTACAATATGAAGTAACAATTCCCTTCGGCATATTGTTTGAAGTTCTCCTACTGCTTAATTAAACCGCGTAAACAAATTAATATCTGTACGCATTTAATTACTTTATTTTATTCATTATTGAGGAATATCTTTTACTAAAAGGAGATTTTATTTAAAAAACGTCATGTTTTTACCGTGAAGCAATCGTATTTGTATGGCTTTCTTTTGTTTTTTTTTTTAATGGTTGAAGATGGAATGGTAAGCAGGTCAGTTAGTCCATCATGATGTAATACATAATACATCTGGAATTCAGCATGATGGTTTCCAGGGGGAACCACGTGGAGGTCGACCTGATAGAGTATATTGCTAGCAATGAGACTGATAGCCCGATTGACAATCCCTTCCCCGTTGATTGCCTTGTTGGATTGGAGAAGGATAACCTTACACAAATTTAATTCAAATACATAAATAAAACTAATATAAATACTCAAAGCCTCGTTTCGGGCTTCAAGGTTATTTTAACCGCCTACTCTGTTATACCTAATTATTATAGTTACAGCTGTACCATTATTCATAGATCTCCGACATAAGGCAATTATTATGTACGGAGAGATCATTTATCACTGGATAATGATTAAAAAAGATGACTATGTTCATGATATGACAAAATCTTTGTAATCGTATGACGTATCAAGTAAACATATGAATGGCAGTGACGAAGTAGAATGAATTGGCAAATTGAGAAGCCAACTAACGGCTGGACAAGCATACGACCCGCCTGATGTTTTTTTTTAATGGACGATAATGGAATGGTAACCCCGCCTGCGCTATCAGTATACACTTATGGGGTACCAGTGAACGATGATAGGTGAGGATGAAAAGGCAGGTCAGTTAGCCCATCGTGATGAATACACCTGGAATTCAGCACGATGGTTTCCAAGGGGAACCGCGTGGAGATCGACCTGATAGGATTCTTTTTTAATGGATGATAATGAAATGGTAATCCCGCCTGCGCTAACGGTATACGCTGGCGGGGCACCAGTGAGGGATGATAGATGAGAATGAAAAAAAAAGCAGGTCAGTTGGCCCATCGTGATGTATACACCTGAAATTCAGCACGATGGTTTCCAGGGGGAACCACGGGGAGGTCGACCTGGTTGGGTATATTGCTAGCAATGGGACTGTCAATCCGCATTATCAATAATCCCTTTCCCTCTCTTTAGGGGGATTTGCCAGTAGCTGCCATACTTGGTAGGCGGATTAGCAATCGCAGTTAGGTCTTAGTCGCCTCTTATGACACCCACGGGAATGGAAGCGGTGGCCTATTCTATGGCGGAACCGCACCGCAATTAGATAAATAGTCAATTAAATTACGATATGTAATTAATGACATTTATAATATATAATTACCAGGGAATATGAATATCTATAGCTGATAACAATTCTTATCATGTGTATTTTATCAGATTGGTTTTAGTAGGTAGGTATTATACCAGTTTATACCAGAGGGAGACTTTGTACAAAAGTCGATCGCTTGAGTACCTCTGTCCCATTCGTGTTTCTATCGTGAAGCAGTTGTGTTTGCATGGCTGTGTTTCGGTTTGAACGGTGGGATATGGCGTGAATTTACAGGGTACAGAGGAATAACACCTGAGTCCTCAGGAATGGCAACGTATGGGAGGTATCATGGGCGAAACAGTATACTATGTTATGTCCATGGTACTGTTCATGTCTATAGGTGACGGTTACCACTTTCCATCAGGTGGGCCGTCAGCTTGTTTGCCATTCTAAGTTGTATAAAAAAAGGTGTGAGTATAATTATATACTAGGTAGGAAGGTATTAACCTTTCTCTTACTAATACGATCACCATTCTCTTAATGGGTGATGCTGGAATGGATGCTGGTAACCACACCCGCGCTATCGGTATACACCGGTGGGATACCAGTGAAGGATGATAGGTGAGGATGAAGCAGGTCAGCCCATCTTGACGAATTCAACAAGAATTGTTCACGATGGTCTCCAGGAGGAACCACGTGGAGGTCGACCTAATAGGGCATATTGCTAGCAATGGGACTGTCAAACTTTAATGCTAACAATCCCTTTACCCCCAATACGATCACCTAATCGATGGTCGGACCAAGTAACCGCCGTTACGGGACTGTCAATTGCAGCTGCCCTGCGAGAAGCTGAAGACCGTGCAAAATGGAGTAACATCATAAGAGAGGCAACAGACACCTTTCAAGGACACGACCTTCAGTAATGAAGTGGACGAAGAGATCTCTTACTAATATAAAAACAGAGGATGTCTGTATTGAACATTTTTTTAATGGATTATAATGGCATGGTAACCCCGCCAGCGCTATCTATATACGCTAGTGAGGCACTAGTGAGGGATGATAGGTGACGATGAAAAGGTAAATCAGTTATCCTATCGTGACGTAATCAATGATAAATTAATCACGGTAGTTTCAAGGGGAAACCGCGTGGAGGTCGACCTGATATATTGATTAGGGGAATAACTTTCACATTATTAATAATCCCTTCCTCCCCAACAGTAGATCTTGGGTCTAGTGAAATCAGTTACACCTGCTCCAGATGGTGTTAGTTTAATTTCTGATTTCGAATAATACGCGGGCAGTCGGGGGAGAAAGCTAGTTCGTAGATAAATAACAAGTGCAATTAGATACTGAGTCAATTAATAACATATTAATTATAATAGTGCGGCCTATAAAAAGGTTAATGGGTTATTAATCCATGGTTCATTGATGGGTTATTATTGATTGTACCAGTTATCTTGATATTTGTTCTCGAGGTTTAAAATTGGCCACTTTATTATTTACTAATATTATATAATGGGGGGAAAGGGATTGTTAGTGATGAAGACTAAGAATCCCATTGCTAGCAATATACCCGACCAGCAGGTCGACCTCCTCGCGGTTCCCCCTGGAAACTATCGTGGTTAATTCCTGATGAATTCATCATGATGGGCTAACTGGCCTGTTTTCATTCTCATCTATCACCCTTCACTGGTGCCCCGCCAGCGTATCCCGTTAGCGCAAGCGGAGTTACCATACCATTTTCACTCATCAAAAAAAAAAATATATATATATATAATATAACAACGACGACGAACTTATGAACATTATAATAGAAGGTAAGATAGAAGGAAGGAGGGGGAGAGGGAGACCGAGACATAGTTACATCAGGCAGATCAAGGAAGGAGTTGGTGTCGTGTCGTATCAAGAGGTGAAGAGACTCGCTGAAAATCGTAGTGAGTGGCAAGAGCTCCACCGACAAGAGCGCAGCTCTTAAATAGGATAGATAGATAGATATAATATAATATATAAAAGATTGTGCCCCATGAAAGAAAGGACGAGTTCAGTGGTGTCGTAATAACTTATTTTGATCTAAAAATTGAATTACTGAACTAATTTTGATAAAATTTCTATATACAGATTAGCTATAAGTATATCCTTTCATATAGAAAAATCCAAATTGGTTTAGAGCTGCCTGGAAGAAGAGATATAATCGAATTGAAAACCTGCTTCTTATATTGTACGCTTATATAGCAGGACATGGAGATACTATTTAACTGATGTAGTACCTTAATTTGACCTATGATCCACAGTAAAGACATTTGTATTCTTTTTGAAGTAGGTAGAAAATGAGTTTTTTTTTACTTCATGTCATCTTAACGGCTTAACCATTAGTATATACGTACTATATGGGATAATGAAAGGTATAAATTACTTTTTATTACGATTAATCAATATATCACGGTTAAATGTTACGACGTGTGACAGAGTCGTTAGAACGTAACGAAGTAACAAAAAGTAAAAAAATCAAATTTATTATTATTTATGTATTTGTTATATATATATATATATATATATATATATATATATATATA